AAAAAAGTTTGAAATTTTTCGACAAAATTAAAAAATTTCAAATCATTCTAGAAAAATTATTTTCAATTGCAGGAGCCAATTGAAAGCATTTTTGGTCATTAGACATACCGTCGAAATCCTAACCGTTTACGAGAAAAAAATTCGTTTGTGTTCGTAGATCGCCGTTCTACACCCGAAACTTTAAACGTTAATAACTTTTTAACGAAGCCTTCATCAACAAATTACTATGCTTGATTTTCGTCTCATTTTGGCCTCCAGAATCACCCATTAAAATTTCTCCCAGATCTGCTGCCCCCATCAACTTCATAATTTCAACAATTGGCGCGAAAATTCAAATTTAAATTGTTTCATTAACCGAAATATCAAGTATAACAAAAAGTTAATAATTTATTCTCTTTAAAACTAAAATTCTAATAACAATTATACACAAAGTTAATAATTCATTTTCTTTAAAACTAAAATTCTAATAACAATTATACAAAAAGTTAATAATTTATTTTCTTTAAAATTAAAATTCAAATTCAAATTATTAAAAAAAGTAATTAATTTAAATTCCATGTTTTGTATAATTTTTAGCCTGTTCTAGTGTTTTTTCTTCGAATCTACATTTTCGAGAGCGACTTCCCTCGCGACCGGAAGTAAATGTTTTGGTCGAAGAAACGAATTTTTTTCTTCTTTTTCCTTCTTCTACGCGGTTCGACGCGTTATTTTAAGAAAAGTCGAATATTCGAGCCGTGGCTCTTGATTTACACGATCCGATCTAATTTCTGAGCGTTTATGCTTCTGCGTATTGATTTTTCGGTTTACGGTGGGTGCAGAATGATTTGTTTCGCGAGCGAGAATTTACATTTTAGACAAATCCAACCTTTGATCGAAGGCAGCGTATAGCACTCGCTGCTTCTCGCTATCCTAACACGTGGTAAACCTAAGTTATGGAATTGTCATGTACCTGCTCATCCATGACACTGATTTCCCAGCAAATAAATGCCCAGTAGAATTGAGAAGAATGGAGAATTTTAGGTTAAATTTACCATTCAAGTGTACCACTTACAACTAAACTTAAAATCATTAAAATATTCAATTACAACTATTATTTTTATTTTCAAGCTCTGAAATTTTCTAAATGCACGCAGACAAAAGAAAATCATAATAATTGACATGAAAAAAATATTCGAAGAGAAGGAGAAATTATCCAGTAGGTCCTTTCAAGTGTCCTTTCGAATCCAAATATCCTTATACATATATATATATAACGGTTTAATAATAATGAACGATACAGAAGTGATACATGTTGGCGCACGCAACGACGCACGACGACCGCGCGACGATCTCGCTGGAAAGCGGCGCACACTCCTCTGCGCACGTTCTCACTCGCGCAGACTCCTCTGCGCGTTCTCACTCGCGCACACTCCTCTGCGCATACTCACAGCGCACGCTACTCACAGCGCTGTGTGACAAAACTTCCATGGCGAGTGTAAATAATTGGAACAGTCCTTACGAGCTCGCCATTTTGTTCGTGACGCATTGTCCGTGGGTGGAATTTTTCGTGGAATTAAATACCACGGAGCTCTTCTTTTCGTGGAAATTACGGCTGCTCGACCCGATACATCGTCTATTGACCCGAATTAGTTTACAGCATAGTTGCCTGAAGCATCCTCTATCGACTTACACGCGGTGTACCGTAGTGAACCTATCGATAGAATTTATCGAATTCCTCGCGGTTCTGGCTCTTTCGATTGTTATTAAATACCTTCGGTTATAATTGATCAATACTACGGTGGGAGGAGTAACAAATTTAATAGGCTGATCCACTTAATTTAGCTGATAGGAGTAAAAGTTGCACGTTGCAAAGAAATTGGAAGATTTAGGTATTTCTAGATTTCACTATTAGAATTTATTTTTCAAATTAAGTATAGTATCTATTTACAGGGTTCGTAGAATCGAAAAATTCAAGCTAATAGAGCAAATATTATGGATAAAATAAATATTGCTTATTCAACTTGGTAATTATTTAATTCCAAATTTCAAAAGTTGTATTTTATATTTGAATTTTTTTTATTTTTCAAATTAAATACAGTATCTATTTACAGAGTTCGTAATAGTGAAAAATTCCAGACCTACCCATGAAATCTTACCAATTTTCCAAGAAAAAAATTCGAAAACGTGTGAAATTTTTCGACAAAATTAAAAATTTCTTAGCCGTTCTAAAAAAATTATTTTTGGTTGCAGGGGTCAATTGTAATCATTTTTGGTGAAAAGACATACCCCCGAAATTCTATCCACTTTCGAGAAAAAAATTCGAGAAGGTGTGAAATTTTTCGACAAAATTAAGAAACTTCAAATCATTCTAAAAAAATTATTTTTAGTTACAAGGGTCAATTACAAGAATTTTTGGTGGATAGACATACCCCCGAAATCCTATTCACTTTGCAGAAAAAAATTCGAGAAGATCTGAAATTTTTCGACAAAATTAAAAAACTTCATATCATTCTAAAAAAATTATTTTTAGTTACAAGGGTCAATTACAAGAATTTTTGGTGGATAGATATACCCCCGAAATCCTACGCACTTTTGAGAAAAAAATTCTTTACCGAAAATCTAATGCGAGGCTTCCCCGAAATTTCATGCGAATCTTCAAAATGTCATAACTCCTGAACGGATTGGACGATTTTAATTTTTCAAACTGCAAACGACGCGTATTTTGGTGGAAAGTATGTAGAAATTCCATAAATATTCGAAAAGTTATTCCTTGACACCGTACAATGAGAAAACCCCCATAAAAATGGTCCAATTTTCAAACAGCCATAACTCCTACAATAGTGAATACGTTTGAATGAAACTTTTTTCTGCTATAGAGCTCACGGATGCCTACAAAAAAGTATTAGACAATGTTTCCGTAGGGCATCAATCAAAATTACTAAAAATCAAAAACTAATATAAGAAAAATCGACGGGGAGTTGGTAGGTACCTAAATTTTTCAACGAAAAAAAAATGTCAAATCATACTAAAAAAATTATATTCAGTTGCAGAGGTCAATTACAACCATTTTTAGTCATTATACATATCCACGAAATCCTACGCATTTTCGAGAAAAAAATTCGAGTAGGAACTGAAATTTTTAAACAAAATTAAAAAACTTCATATCATTCTAAAAAAATTATTTTTAGTTACAAGGGTCAATTACAAGAATTTTTGGTGCATAGATATACCCCCGAAATCCTACGCACTTTTGAGAAAAAAATTCTTTACCGAAAATCTAATGCGAGGCTTCCCTGAAATTTCATGCGAATCTTCAAAATGTCATAACTCCTGAACGGATTGGACGATTTTAATTTTTCAAACTGCAAACGACGCGTATTTTGGCGGAGAGAATGTAGAAATTCCATAAATATTCGAAAAGTTATTCCTTGACACCGTACAATGAGAAAACCCCCATAAAAATGGTCCAATTTTCAAACAGCCATAACTCCTACAATAGTGAATACATTTCAATGAAACTTTTTTCTGCTATAGAGCTCACGGATGCCTACAAAAAAGTATTAGACAACTTTTCTCTAGAGCGTCAAAGAAAATTACTAAAAATGAAAAACATATAGGGTAGGTGTCGAAATTTTTCAGCGAAACAAAAATTTTCGAATCGTTTTGAAAAAATTATTTTTAGCTGTGGGGGGAGATTACAATCATTTTTTGTGAATAGATACTCCGCCGAAATCCTACGCACTTTCGAGAAAAAAATTCTTTACCGAAAATATATTCTGTGTCCGGAAATATTTCCATAACTTTTTAACGAAGCCTCAATCAAGAAATTGATATTCTTCATTTTCGTCCTGTTTTGGCCTCTAGAATCTCCCGTTAAAATTTTTTTATCCTCCCTGTATAAGAAATGGGAAATTTTAATTTTCAAGAAACTACATAATACGCTCAATATGCAACTATATCTGTACTATTATATAAAGAGAGAGCCGATTTTTATGTTCGCGCAAAACTCAAGACCTATTGAACCGATCTTCCTCAAATTTTGACACGTTATTCCTGCATACTCTAGGACGGACATGGGCTATGTAGCGTGTCTCAGAAGCGCGTTATTAACATGTAATTTATGTGCAAAGATTTCATGCGTACGACCGTTTGGCGGACCACGCGACCCCTGTATACGACAGTCTACTTGCGCGCGCATACGCGTTAACGGCCCGCGCGATACCTCGCCCGTAGCAGTACTGCGATGTCACCGCCAGGTGGCGAAGCTTCTCGAGCGCTTTCTCGCGAGAGAATTGCATCATCGCGGATATATATGTCAGGACGATCGTGTGGTCATGAATTGCTTTTGCACAAGGTCTATTGCTAGTGTATAATAAATGCGAGATTTGAATTTTAAAAAACCTACATAGTGCACTCAATATGGTAAATATATAAAAAAATGGGAAATTGTAATTGTCAAGAAACTGCATAATACGATCAATATGCAACTATATGTATAATAAATGGGAGATTCGAATTTTTAAAAAACCTACATAATACATAAATATATAAAAAAAATAGGAAATTTTAATTTTCAGAAAATTGTGCAATGCACTTAACATACAAATATATAAGAAATAATTGAAGTTAAGATTATTTTAGGGGTTCAGAAAACTCCCAATAAAGAGAAATTTATGTAAAATCCTCCATTGGTTCATTATTTTTCAAATGCTTCAAAGGAAAGTTGATTTCCATTTACGAATTTGGTAAAAATCAAAAATTAAATAAAATAATTCTCTGGAGATTGAGAGCCCACTTTAAGGGTTAATTCGAAATACTCTGAAATAACAAATTCACCATTGAATTATCGAATGTTTTCATGTTTGAACATCAAGTAAAATAATTCTGTGGAGATTGAGAGCTTATTTTAAGGGTTAATTCGAAATTTATATTCTAGAATAACAAATTCACCATTGAATTATCGAATATATTTATTTGGAGAAATTTTGAGGTTTTTAACGCGTTAAAAATGAATTTTCCAGGGTGGCTCGTGCGAATCTCTGTCGTCGAAAGGCGGAGCTCTCACCGGAAGTGACTCTGGTGTCCTGGAGCTCAGCGATAGTGGGGGAGGCGGTCCCCCAGGAGAATGGGACGCTGTTCCAGCAGTGGTCAGACAGTGCATCAGGCATTTGGAAACCTCTGGACTTCGAACATTGGGAGTCTTTCGAGTTTCGCCCTCGAAGAAGAGAGTGAGACAGGTATACGTTGCTCCAACCAGCATTTATTCGCGTTTCATGAAAAATAGGGGAAAGGTGTACATATAATAAAACCTTTTTTTAATTGTAAAAAAAAAATAAATACCTCGTTCAGGTTGCTGGTTAAAATATTATAAATAATAAATAAGTTGCCGGTTAAAATATCATAAATAATAATATCGGAAATAAATAATAAATTGATTATTTGCGATACAAAATTTAAGAAGGAAATAATTTTAAATATTTTACATTCGCTGCCTCAAATTAGTTTCCAAAAATTAGATACGAATTACACCATAGTCCCTAATTGCAGAAAAAAACCAAACTGTCTAATTTTGATACTTGGTTTGAATCGGTGTTTTTTCAGTTACGAGAAGACTTCGATTGCGGTCGTGAGACGAAAATTGGTCCCGATCAGTGTCCCCACGACGTGGCAGCACTGTTGAAAGAGTATTTCCGGGATCTGCCGGATCCTCTGCTCTGCAGAGACCTATACCAAGCCTTCGTCCACACGCAAAGTAAGCCCAAAACGAAAAAAACACTCCTCAAATAACAAAAATACACAATTTACTCGCATATTTTAAATTTAAAGGAAGAAATTAGAACCTTTCTATCATCACAAACTGCTTGCATAATTTTCTACGCCAAAACTGCTATTAAAAATTCTATAAAATTCTTATAAACACAAAACTTGAAACGAAATAAAAAAAACACATCAAATAACGCAAAATTGATCAAAAATTCTACGTCAACTTTCAAAAAGGTAGTTATAACAGTAAGAAATATTTCAATATCAATATTTTCAATATGAAAATGAAAAAAAGAACGCAAGTTACGTAGATCTAAAAGAAATAAGCACTGAAATAAGCAACAATCGTTTTGAGATTCAAGATGGCGGCGTGTGAGGGCGCCACGTTGCTTCACGGACGTTGTAAACACGAAGTTTTCCTTTTCGTCGATGTTTTTTTTATCGTTCCAACATTGATAAACGAGTTTCTTTGCACTCAAAGAGCCATGTTCTTATTGCAGAGATCCGGAACAGGCGACTTCAGCAAGAAGCTCTTCAGCATCTCATTCAGCTGCTCCCCACGCCTAACCGCGAAACTCTCTGGGCACTTTTGAGCTTTCTCAGCGTGGTGGCGGCGAACAGCGACGACAGGAAGACAGACACTGGCGAGTGGATACCTGGGAACAAAATGGACACTACCAACTTGGCCACTGTGAGTCCATTCAGATGTGAATTTAATCAGAATTTCTTTGCTCAACAATTTTCAGTTCACAATAATCATAAATCTCTCCTTAGCCATTTGGAGCTAATTTGTACTCTCAAACCATTATTATCATTTTATCCAATTGCATCAAAAAACTTGTTTTACAGAGACCACAAAGCAAGATATTTTTTTTAGTAAACTTTTATCAAAGATGATTCCCAATGTTTGTTTGTTTTTTAGTACTCTGATTAATCGAGTCGTTAGTGTTATTTAAAGTTGCCAAATAGAGAGATTTAATCCTTTTACACAAAGTATGCAAAGTCTTGTATTATTCATTCTCTCTTTGCTGTGCTTATTGATTTTAAATATTTTTTATGAGTATCTGTGAGTGATATTCTTTATAATTGGATAATTTTCTGCTTCAGGTGTTCGCGCCAAATATCCTCCATTGCGTGAAACCTGGACAGAGGTCTGAAGTATCAGCTGAGAGGGCAGAGGAGAGGATAGACGTAATAAACGTGGTGAGGGCGCTGTTGGAGCACGCTACGACCCTTTTCACGGTGCCAGCTGCCCTTCTGGACGAAGTCTACCATCACATGATGGACACGCATCCGGCGGAATTGGATCTCGCCCTTTCTCGACGCGCTGACGAGTGAGTAATTCGCTACGACTTCCCCTAACCTAGTTACTCGAGCCTCCATTTCCTCTTTCATTCGTCCTCGAAACTCTAAAATCTGATATCCTCTTTCGATTCGTGGCCATTTAATTTTCAAGCTTCGATGTTATATTTATCGAAATACTTTAGATGCTTTACTTTGGGTTCTCTTTAGTTATAATAGTCATCCATAATAGTAAAATTCTAAAAAAAGTTACAGGATTTAGGATACAGTATTTTAAGGTAGAAATCAACCCTTTTACCCTTCCTGTTTTATATCGTTTTATCAATTCTGGAGATTTATGTTTGCAAATGATTTATCGAGAAATGAGTCTTCTGAAAAAAAGTAAAATTCCCTCCTTTTTTTGAGAAAAATTATTTTTCTGATAAATAAAGCCATCCATTATTACAAGTTACAATAATCATACATTACAGTACACTTTTGAATTTAAAACCAATTAATAAAATTCTCCATTGTTTCTTCAGAATTTTTATAACATCACAATTGTCACACTTTTCATATTTTAATTTCAAGATATCAGTTTGTGAGACTTCTGAATACGTCTCAAATTTTTTGACTTTGTGCAAAAGCAATTTATGATCAGACGATCGTCCTGACATATATATCCGCGATAATGCAATTCTCTCGCGAGAAAGCGCTCGAGAGGCTACGCCACCTGGCGGTAACATACATTGTCGTATGCAGGGGTCGCGTGGTCTGCCAAACAGTCGTACACATGAAATCTTTGCACATAAATTACATGTTAATAACGCGCTTAGGGTTAGGTCTGGGTTAGGTCTGAATTAAGTCTAAGTTAGGTCTGGGTTAGGTCTGAATTAAGTCTGGGTTAGGTCTGGGTTAGGTCTGAATTAAGTCTGGGTTAGGTCTGGGTTAGGTCTGAATTAAGTCTGGGTTAGGTCTGGGTTAGGTCTGAATTAAGTCTGGGTTAGGTCTGGGTTAGGTCTGAATTAAGTCTTGGTTAGGTCTGGGTTAGGTCTGAATTAAGTCTTGGTTAGGTCTGGGTTAGGTCTGAATTAAGTCTGGGTTAGGTCTGGGTTAGGTCTGAATTAAGTCTTGGTTATGTCTGGGCTAGGTCTGGGTTAGGTCTGAATTAAGTCTTGGTTAGGTCTGGGTTAGGTCTGGGTTAGGTCTGAATTAAGTCTGGGTTAGGTCTGGGTTAGGTCTGAATTAAGTCTGGGTTAGGTCTGGAATAAGTCTGAATTAAGTCCTAACCTAGACTTCAAGTCCAGACCTAACCTAGACTTAATTCAGACTTATTCCAGACCTAACCCAGACTTAATTCAGACCTAACCCAGACCTAACCCAGACTTAATTCAGACTTATTCGAGACCTAACCCAGACTTAATTCAGACCTAACCCAGACTTAATTCAGACCTAACCCAGACTTAATTCAGACCTAACCCAGACCTAACCCAGACTTAATTCAGACCTAACACAGACCTAACCCAGACTTAATTCAGACCTAACCCAGACTTAATTCAGACCTTACCCAGACCTAACCCAGACTTAATTCAGACCTAACCCAGACCTAACCCTGATTTAATTCAGACTTATTCGAGACCTAACCCAGACTTAATTCAGACCTAACCCAGACCTAACCCAGACTTAATTCAGACCTAACCCAGACCTAACCCAGACTTAATTCAGACCTAACCCAGACCTAACCCAGACTTAATTCAGACCTAACCCAGACCTAACCCAGACCTAACCCAGACTTAATTCAGACCTAACCCAGACCTAACCCAGACTTAATTCAGACCTAACCCAGACCTAACCCAGACCTAACCCAGACTTAATTCAGACCTAACCCAGACCTAACCCTGATTTAATTCAGACTTATTCCAGACTTAACCCAGACTTAATTCAGACTTATTCCAGACCTAACCCAGACTTAAATCAGACTTATTCCAGACCCAACCCTAGGTTTGTTAGGTTGGGTTAGGTCTGGAATAAGTCTGAATTAAGTCTGTGTTGGGTTATGATCGTTTCGGCGTGAAACGTAGCTGTTTTTCGTTGAACGTCCTAGTTCGCCTAGCAAGAACAGAAAGGCAATTATTAACCAAAGGGAGAAATTTGTTCAAAACTATCATGCCCCGTCTCGGCTTCGCCCGACCTTGTGCAAAAGCAATTTATGATCAGACGATCGTCCTGACATATATATCCGCGATAATGCAATTCTCTCGCGAGAAAGTGCTCGAGAAGTTACGCCACCTGGCGGTAACATCGCAGTACTGCTACGGGCGAGGTATCGCGCGGGCCGAATACGCGTATGCGCGCGAAAGTAGACTGTCGTATACAGGGGATGCGTGGTCTGCCAAACAGTCGTACACATGAAATCTTTGCACATAAATTACACGTTAATAACGCGCTTCTGAGACATGCTACATAGCCCATGTCCGCCCTAGAGTATGCAGGAATAACGTGTCAAAATTTGAGGAAGATAGGTTCAATAGGTGTTGAGTTTTGCGCGAACATAAAAATCGTTTTCGTTCGTTTTTCTCACAGACAGTGCGGTGACGAGGCAGACCCGTGCAGCGAAGCTGAAAACTTCTCGGTCGAGGAGACCCTGACGACGTCGACGACGACCACGGCCGGAACGACGACGTCCACCAGGAAGGTAAACGATCCAGATCGATCTAGATATCACCTTCTTTCGAAATATCTGACGTCTCCGTGTCCTATTAAAGTGGAACTTCTTTGGATTCGGGGGAAAAGAATCCCAAGAAAATCAAAGAAATTCTCGACTCTATTGGAGGAGGAACAGAGATATTTGTTCAATATTTATTTCAATGATTGGTAGTTGGAGAAGTTCTTCCAAATTTAGAGAATTTACTATCTCGAACAATCTTTATTTTTCTTTATTTTAACACTTTACCGACCGGTGGCCTATTTATCGACTTTTTTACCGACCAACGCTTACCGACCGATTAATCAACCGCTACCGGTCGGTAAAGTGTTAATGGAGGAGGAACAGAGATATTGGTCCAGTTGAGTTTTCGCTTTTTCTTTAATTCTCAGCTCTTTTAAGGAAGTGATTATACTGTCTTGCATTAATGAATGGTGGACCATTTGTGTTTTAGGTGTGGACGAGAGAACAGTGTCTCCATCAAACAGCAGGCATTGGCGGAGACATAGGCCCCAGACCGCGGCGGTCGAAGAGGCCCGGAAGTCGCAGAAAGGAAGAAGGCAGGAGCAACAGCGTGGACAGTGGATCCAGCGAGGATCCAGCGGATCCACGAAGAAAATCCTCGCCCATGGTAATCACCGCCAGCCTCACCATACCAATGTCCGGAGCGTTCACGTTGAACCTCGACGATCCGGACATTCCTTACATCGAGGAAGCACCTAAGCAACCCAGCGTGCCGCCACGAAGGCAGAGGCAACGATCGATTTCCGGTTGCAGCGAAGGTGCGTTTAAAACTATAAGTCTATAAGCTTCACTATAGTATTGGTGACTAGGCTATACCCTCGAAACTTTACGCCCTATTAAGAAAAAAAAATTCGGACATGTGGACGTTTCGACAAAATTAAAGAATTTCAAATGATACTAAAAAAATTATATTTAGTTAGGGGGGTCAATTACAAGCATTTTTGTTGGATAGACATACCCCCGAAATCCTACCTACTTTCGAGAAAAAAATTCGAGTATATACTGAATTTTATAGACGAAATTAAAAAATTTCAAATGATACTAAAAAAATTATATTTAGTTAGAGGGTTCGATTACAAGCATTTTTGGTGGATAGACATACCCCTGAAATCCTACCTACTTTCGAGAAAAAAATTCATTACCTCCTTCCGATGACTCCTGTCCTTTTCTATCTTCTTGTTGCGTATTCGAATTTAAGTTATTTTTAGTAAATTGGTGAATTTAATAAGCACTTTAAAAGTGGTGGTCGTCAGATAGTCAAAAATTCCATGGAATCAAAGCAAAATTTCTAGGGATCCCCCATACAATTAAACAGTTGCACCATGTACCCCAAGCAGTCCTACCATGAACCAATTTGAAATTCCAAAACAGTGAAGGGACCAAGAGTTCAGAATGATGATTTAAAGTGATAATTATGTGTGTTTCCAGGTGGTAGGCACGGAAGCGACAGCGCAGTGGGTTCCTCCGCGACACTGTCGGGCGACCAGGCGCCCAGCTCGCCGCCCTCGTGGGCATCCTCGCCCCCAGCGAGCCCCGACAGCGCGGTGACCGCAGTCTCTTACATACCCGACCAACAGGCAGTCCTCCAGAGGGTCTCGTTCACGACTTCCAGCGAGGTGCGCCAAGTGGCCAGGTCGAACAACCAGGACACGTCTAGGAGCACCGCGGCGCCGTACACGCCCAGCATCACAAGCATCGGCGGCGCGGTCCTCAGGTGAGAATCCTTGCCCTCTGAGCTATGCGTGCCTCCTCGGAAGACTGATAGGAATTGGGGTGGACGGTTCCGATGTGCTTGGTGTCCTGGAATTCGAGGGAGCAATTTGGGACGGTTCGTCGACCCTGTCGAATTGGTCGTCCCAAGTGTCAGGTCGTTCGATAGGCTTGACCTAACCAGGTCAAGCCAGATCGTTGCTTCCTAGTCTCTTGCAATTTCACGAATCTACTTGCTTCGTTTTTAACCCCTTAACGCTCATGTCTGACTGCTTTGGAAAACGATATTTGTTTAATCTGATGCTTTAAGGGATGACTATATTTGTTTTCCTTCAAGTTATGCACTAGATACAACATTGTAATGAACAAAAATAATTATTCAATTGTAATGAATAAAGAAAACTGATCGTTCTTGGTCAATCTGAGAAATATGAGCGTTAAGGGGTTAAACAGTCGAACAATGTTAACCCTCGGTTGGTGGCGTTGGGTCCTGACCCAGCGATGGTTCGATCAGGTTTTTGGTAACTGTTCCTAATATGATTAATTTTGGTTTGATTTTTAGACTTGATGTTAAAGGAAAGGAATGCTCCTTTTTCTTCCTCTTCACGTATTTAATCATTCGTGTGAAATTTGTTTGTATTATTGAGAAACACTTATCTCTCTACTTTCCACTGTAAATTGTCTCTACAATTAACTCAAAATTAAGTCAAAATTATCTATACAAACGCCAGACCTAACCCAGACCTAACCCCTATCTATACATATAAACATTTGATTAGTTGACTATGTGTGTTAGACGCCTATGGTTGTTTAAATATTGACCATAATCAAAGGATTGATAACAGTAACGTTCAAAACAAGATCCATAATTCATAATCACCATTCATGACAAAACCCTATAAAACTCCCACTGGGTCAATAATGACCCAACAAAATCAGTCCCCTAATCGAATCTTGATCGTACCAACCGAGGGATAAAAAAACGACCTTTTCTTTTCGAATAATTCCGGATGAAAATATACATTTAGATTTGCAAGGTTTGCCTGGTTTTTAGATTCGAGAATCTCGAATCCGACATTTTGTGAAGTCTCGAAACTCGAAACTCGAAACTCGAAACTCGAAACTCAAAACTCGAAGATCGAAGATCGAAACTCGAAACTCGAAACTCGAAGTTTTAATCTCGAAGGTCGAAACTCGAAACTCGAAACTCGAAGTTTTAATCTCGAAGCTCGAAACTCGAAACTCGAAACTCGAAGCTCGAAGCTCGAAGTTTTAATCTCGAAGCTCGAAACTCGAAACTCGAAGCTCGAAGCTCGAAGTTTTAATCTCGAAGCTCGAAACTCGAAACTCGAAACTCGAAACTCGAAGCTCGAAGTTTTAATCTCGAAGCTCGAAACTCGAAACTCGAAACTCGAAGCTCGAAGTTTTAATCTCGAAGCTCGAAGCTCGAAACTCGAAACTCGAAGTTTTAATCTCGAAGCTCGAAGTTTTAATCTCGAAGCTCGAAACTCGAAACTCGAAACTCGAAGCTCGAAGTTTTAATCTCGAAGCTCGAAGCTCGAAACTCGAAACTCGAAGTTTTAATCTCGAAGCTCGAAGTTTTAATCTCGAAGCTCGAAACTCGAAACTCGAAGCTCGAAGCTCGAAGCTCGAAGCTCGAAACTCGAAGCTCAAAGTTTTAATCTCGAAGCTCGAAGTTTTAATCTCGAAGCTCGAAACTCGAAACTCGAAACTCAAAACTCGAAGCTCGAAACTCGAAGATCGAAGATCGAAACTCGAAACTCGAAACTCGAAGTTTTAATCTCGAAGGTCGAAACTCGAAACTCGAAACTCGAAGTTTTAATCTCGAAGCTCGAAACTCGAAACTCGAAACTCGAAGCTCGAAGCTCGAAGTTTTAATCTCGAAGCTCGAAACTCGAAACTCGAAGCTCGAAGCTCGAAGTTTTAATCTCGAAGCTCGAAACTCGAAACTCGAAACTCGAAACTCGAAGCTCGAAGTTTTAATCTCGAAGCTCGAAACTCGAAACTCGAAGCTCGAAGTTTTAATCTCGAAGCTCGAAACTCGAAACTCGAAACTCGAAGCTCGAAGTTTTAATCTCGAAGCTCGAAGCTCGAAACTCGAAACTCGAAGTTTTAATCTCGAAGCTCGAAGTTTTAATCTCGAAGCTCGAAACTCGAAACTCGAAACTCGAAACTCGAAGCTCGAAGCTCGAAGCTCGAAGCTCGAAGCTCGAAACTCGAAACTCGAAACTCGAAGCTCTTGAAACCCAGAATTCTTATCTTTTCTGCACTCTTTACTAATATCTATCGAAGAATAAAATTGATTGACACAATTAGACGAGAATTAAAGTGTATTTAGAATTAAAATAAGTTCGACATTGCGAGAAGTTTGCAATGCAGAGGTTTGGATGCAAGTTATCGGCAAAGTTAGGTTAGAAACTAGCCTTAGAGTGACTTTAGACACTTTAATCGTATGCACAGTTTAGAAGAGTTGTAGATGAAAATAGTGGTGTTTTTTATGTTAATATTTACTCACAAAAATATCTCTTGTTCAAGAATACTAGCAACCGAACTCTTTCTGGGTCTAGTCGACTGCTTTTTTATCAACTATGATACCTGACGTGCTGAATAGCCTCAATACATAGTTCATGGCGGTGAAATCGTGTCACAGTATTCTCGTAAGTTATTTTACACAAATTACTATTTACATGGATTTCGAGAGTTTTTGAATCACAAAAAAAGTAACACAAAGTTTCGAATTTCGAGTTTCGAGTTTCGAGTGTTTAGGACTCGAAACCTTTCAGTTTCGCGGGGTTTTGTGGTTTTGAAATTTTGAAGTTTCGAGTGTCCCCCCATTCCTAATATTTCTTCCTTTCAAAACACTGTTTATTATTGTCAGTGTTCATGTCGACGATTTTTGAAACCATAACCTACAACTTACCATATTTTTATTTGTGATGTATGTAGCTTTTAATATTTGGTAGCGTAACTACTAATCATTACATTACGTTGTGTTTTAACTTGTATAAGGTAAATGTCCCATTTATCAACACATTTTTTTGTCACTTTGAATGACGATAGAAAATTCTGGGTTTTATTTATTTTTTACGTACATTATGATATAAAATGATATACTTTCTTTTTATGAAAGAAATAACTTGATTTGTTTTTAAATACTCGTGGAATTAAACATAGATTTCTCAGTCATCGCCATAACGATGGAATCTCATATGGAATGTTCATAACTGCTTCAACATTTATTAAACAAATTCGTGTGAGATTGCTTGATATTAAAAATAATAAGAATTGCAGTGGAAAGGGGAATATTTAATATCATTTGCTGTTATATGCAATTTTATTGCAAACGTGATGTCTGAAACAACGACAACGTGTTGTCGATATCAATGAATTCGAAGTAATACAGTTTGCTAAAAATGAAACTGTTAATAATTGTGATAACTAGACTGCGGATGTTTATGCATTTATGGGGAAATTTTAATCCTTAAAAAACTACAGAATGCATTTAATATGCAAAAATATAAGAAATACTTAACACTAGAAAGACTGAAACTTAGTATATTACCTATATTGCCCAAAAGCAGTCAAAATGACTGCATTATGAAAGACTAACTAATGTGTAAAGAAATTTGTTTAAAATTAATTTTTAATATTATGTTATAATATTATGAATTTAGGGCGCAGAAATAAAATAAACAACTTGTTAGAACAAGTATCACTGCATAAAGATTCGAATAACAAGTACTATTTTAGCTTATTGAGAAACTGCAATTTATCAATAGGTCTGGGTTAGGTCTGGAATAAGTCTGGGTTAGGTCTGGGCTAGGTCTGGGTTAAGTCTGGGTTATGTCTGGGTTAGGTCTGGATTAGATCTGGGTTAGGTCTGGGTTAGGTCTGTATTAGGTCTGGGTTAGGTCTGGGTTAGGTCTGGGTTAGGTCTGGATTAGATCTGGGTTAGGTCTGGGTTAGGTCTGGATTAGATCTGGATTAGATCTGGGTTAGGTCTGGGTTAGGTCTGGATTAGATCTGAGTTAGATCTGAGTTAGGTCTGGGTTAGGTCTGGATTAGATCTGGGTTAGGTCTGGGTTAGGTCTGGATTAGATCTGAGTTACGTCTGGGTTAGGTCTGGATTAGATCTGAGTTAGGTCTGGGTTAGGTCTGGGTTAGGTCTGAGTTAGGTCTGGGTTAAGTCTGGGTTAGGTCTGGGTTAGGTCTGGATTTATAGATAACCTTATTCCCCCAGGGAATAGATTTATTTTGTTTTAAATAGATTTAACCCAGACCTAACCCAGACCTAACCCAGACCTAATCCATACCTAACCCAGACCTAATCTAGATCTAACCCAGACCTAACCCAGACCTAAAACAAACCTAATCCAGACCTAACCCAGACCTAATCCAGACCTAACCCAGACCTAACCCAGACTTAATTCAGACTTATTCCAGACCTAACCCAGACCTAACTCAGAGCTAACTCAGATCTAATCCAGACCTAACCCAGACCTAACCCAGACCTAACCCAGACCTAACCCAGACCTAACCCAGACCTAACCCAGATCTAATTCAGATCTAATCCAGACCTAACCCAGAGCTAACTCAGATCTAATCCAGACCTAACTCAGACCTAACTCATATCTTACTCAGATCTAATCCAGACCTAACCCAGACCTGACCCAAACCTAACCCAGACCTGACCCAAAAAAAAGAAAAGGTTTGGGTCAGGCCTGGGTTAGGTCTGGGTTATGTCTCGGTTAGGTCTGGGTTAGGTCTGGATTAGATCTCGATTAGATCTGGGTTAGGTCTGGATTAGATCTGGGTTAGGTCAGGGTTAGGTCTGGATTAGATCTGAGTTAGGTCTGGGTTAGGTCTGGGTTAGGTCTGGGTTAGGTCTGGGTTAGGTCTGGGTTAGGTCTGGATTAGATCTGGGTTAGGTCTGGGTTAGGTCTGGATTAGATCTGAGTTAGGTCTGGGTTAGGTCTGGATTAGATCTGAGTTAGGTCTGGGTTAGGTCTGGGTTAGGTCTGGATTTATAGATAACCTTATTCCCCCAGGGAATAGATTTATTTTGTTTTAAATAGATTTAACCCAGACCAAACCCAGACCTAACCCAGACCTAATCCATACCTAACCCAGACCTAATCTAGATCTAACCCAGACCTAACCCAGACCTAAAACAAACCTAATCCAGACCTAACCCAGACCTAATCCAGACCTAACCCAGACCTAACCCAGACTTAATTCAGACTTATTCCAGACCTAACCCAGACCTAACTCAGAGCTAACTCAGATCTAATCCAGACCTAACCCAGACCTAACCCAGACCTAACTCAGATCTAATCCAGACCTAACCCAGACCTAACCCAGATCTAATTCAGATCTAATCCAGACCTAACCCAGAGCTAACTCAGATCTAATCCAGACCTAACTCAGACCTAACTCATATCTTACTCAGATCTAATCCAGACCTAACCCAGACCTGACCCAAACCTAACCCAAACCTAACCCAGACCTGACCCAAAAAAAAGAAAAGGTTTGGGTCAGGCCTGGGTTAGGTCTGGGTTATGTCTCGGTTAGGTCTGGGTTAGGTCTGGATTAGATCTCGATTAGATCTGGGTTAGGTCTGGATTAGATCTGGATTAGGTCTGGGTTAGGTCTGGATTAGATCTGAGTTAGATCTGAGTTAGGTCTGTATTAGATCTGGGTTAGGTAAGCCCAAATCGACAATTTATCACGTACTTGTATGTTATCATGTGTTGGTAATCGAAAAAAAATGAAAACTGTTATTTCAATACAGAGTCGAACTGGTCATATAAGAAATTTACTCAATTCAATAATAAGAGTGATTTGATTATTTAAAATTTCCCAAGCAGTCAAAATGACTGCTTTTGACCAATATAGGTATAACACATATACCGGAAATGAAGAAGGGGGCAGGTAACTACAATTATTAATAAACCCATTTATATGTTGTGCAAAAAGTCACAAAATTCTAAGGAATTGTGTCATTATATAAATAATTGTTTTTCTAATTGAAATTAAAAAGCAGTCAAAATGACTTCCTTGTGCAATCTAGTGTTAAAGTAAGATACGAATTATTATATTTAGGGGTTGAGGCAGCCCTCTGCGAAGCTTCCGTTTCATTAATTCTGTTAATAAAAATGTGAATTTGCATAAAGATCCGGAGTCTAGTGATAACGAAAGAAATTGAAAATGTCGATGACTGAGTCAGTGTTGAGATTAGGTGCACTTACCTTGATTAGTATACTTTGTTCGAGTATTTGGGACAGAAAATATTGGACGCTCAATGCCATTTTCCTCCACAGTGAATCATGATGATAGGTAGACCGTTTACTTTTATTCGAGGGTAGATTTCTCTTCTTAAAGTCAGTGAAAAATGTACAGTTTTTTTGACGATGGGAACACGCTTCTTTCGGAGACAATATTTATAGTTATTTTCTCAAAACTTCACACATTCTAGTCTTCTTCGTAACGTAAACTAAAAATTGTAACGCAATATAATATTCAATCGAGACAATAAACTGAATACGTAAGGGACGACCCCTAAATTATTCAAATATAAAAAAAAAATACTAAAGAATTGAGGTTATATTACTATAAATCGATTATCAACTTAACACTTTACCGACCGATAAAACAGTTGATTAGTAGGCTATCAGTCGGTAAGCGTTAGCCGGTAAAACAGTCGATTAATCGGTATTAAAGCTATCGGTCGGTAAAGTGTTAAAGTCAAGCTTAAAATAAATATATAGAATAATGTAAGTTACATTTAAATTATTTAGGGGTCTCTATATGTCCTCTGTAACATCATATATCACATAAAATTCTAATAATCGTTCAAAGAATAAATACAAGTATCGTCTCCGAGAAAACGTGTTTCCATTTTCGACTAGATGGCGTTTAACTGACTTTAGGGCAATTTAAGTTAGAATCAAAGAATCACATTGCCAACATTTCCAATTTGAGGATACAAAAGGTATCTATCTACAGGTTTGCACTTTACGTTTCTCAATCGCAATGGGAGACGTGAAGAATGATCGAAGGGACCACGGGTGGAGATAATGAGTGTCGTTGAGCGGCCAATGTTGGGCCTGGGCCCCGAGTTCTCAGCCCTTTATTGCGACAGCAACGAAACCAGCACGTGAAAGGATCGATCGACCATCCGCTTGTGCTCTGCGACGTTTCACACTAACAACGAGGTGAACAAAACAGGGGGGGGGGAGAGAGCTTCTGCAGCCGTAGGTTTGTTTTTCCAGATCGAAGACCGCGGACATCGAGAGGATGCTGCACATCGCGAGGCCCGACATGCTCGTCACGCAGCAGAGCAAGAGTTCCACGGACAGCAAGAAGTATACCAAGAGACGTTACACCGATTCGAGGCACCAGACGCGTCACATACCGGACTCGGACACCCTGGCGGGCAAAACGGCCGCGTCTGTAGCGTCGGCGCCCTCTGTCGCGATGTCCGCGACCTCTGTGGTGATCGGTGGCCAGGGCCAGAGGGCCCAACCGGTTTGGAAACGACGGGAACTCATTTCCAGCGCCCCCAAAGACAGGGAAAGATACTTCTGAGCAACGACGACTCGTTCACGATCGGATCGGATGACAAAGAGACTCTTTAAAGCGACACTCGATTGACCAATGTCGTGAGAGCACACCAGGGACTCATTTAACGCGCAGTGTTGAAAGGGGGAGGCTACAGGGAAGCTCAAGATCCCTATTACACGAATTTTAATCGATTTAAACCGATTTATTAACACTTCGACTGCCACGCCATCTATGTATGGGTGACAGAATTTACCACTATGATACTAGGGAATTTCATTTTCAAATTAACACTTTACCGACCGGTAGCGGTTGATTAATCGGCTATCGGTCGGTAAACGTCGACCGATAAAACAGTTGATTAATACGCTATCGGTCGGTAAGCGTTGGCCGGTAAAACAGTCGATTAATAGGCTATCGGCCGGTAAAGTGTTAAGATGAAGAGGGAAATAAATTTGAATGGAATTCGTGAATTTTAACAAAAATGATTGTAATTCACCCCTGCAATCGAAAATAATTTTTTGAGACTGACTTGAAACTTTTCAATTTCGTCCAAAAATTTAGGCACGATTTTAGTTAAAATTAGTTTTTGATTTTTAGTAATTTTGTTCGATGCTCTACAGTAAAGTTGTCTAATACTTTTTTGTAGGTACTCATGAGTTCTACTTAAAAAAAAAGTTTCATTGAAATATATTCACTATTGTAGGAATTATGGTTGTCTGAAAATTGGACCATTTTTATGAGGGTTTTTCTAATTTTACGGGGTCAAGGAATAACTTTTCCAATATTATTAGAATTTCTATATATTCTTCGCCAAAATACGCGTTGTTTGCCGCTTGAAACATTAAAATCGTCCAATCTGTTCAGAAGTTATGACGTTTTAAAGATTCGCATGAAATTTTGAAGCGAAATAGAATATATTTTCAGTAAGGAATTTTTTTCTCCAAAATGGTTAGGATTTTGAGGGTATTCCTCTTAACCAAAAATGATTGTAATTGACCCCTGCGATCGAAAATAATTTTTTGAGACTGACTTGAAACTTTTCAATTTCGTCCAAAAATTTAGGCACGATTTTAGTTAAAATTAGTTTTTGATTTTTAGTAATTTTGTTTGATGCTCTACAGTAAAGTTGTCTAATACTTTTTTGTAGGTACTCATGAGCTCTACTCAAAAAAAAAGTTTCATTGAAATATATTCACTATTGTAGGAATTATGGTTGTCTGAAAATTGGACCATTTTTATGAGGGTTTTTCTAATTTTACGGGATCAAGTAATAACTTTTCCAATATTATTAGAATTTCTATATATTCTTCGCCAAAATACGCGTTGTTTGCCGTTTGAAACATTAAAATCGTCCAATCTGTTCAGAAGTTATGACGTTTTAAAGATTCGCATGAAATTTTGAAGCGAAATAGAATATATTTTCAGTAAGGAATTTTTTTCTCCAAAATGGTTAGGATTTTGAGGGTATTCCTCTTAACCAAAAATGATTGTAATTGACCCCTGCAATCGAAAATAATTTTTTGAGACTGACTTGAAACTTTTCAATTTCGTCAAAAAATTCAGGCACGATTTTAGTTAAAATTAGTTTTTGATTTTTAGTAATTTTGTTCGATGCTCTACAGTAAAGTTGTCTAATACTTTTTTGTAGGTACTCATGAGCTCTACTAAAAAAAAAAGTTTCATTGAAATATATTCACTATTGTAAGAATTATGGTTGTCTGAAAATTGGACCATTTTTATGAGGGTTTTTCTAATTTTACGGGGTCAAGTAATAACTTTTCCAATATTATTAGAATTTCTATATATTCTTCGCCAAAATACGCGTTGTTTGCCGTTTGAAACATTAAAATCGTCCAATCTGTTCAGAAGTTATGACGTTTTAAAGATTCGCATGAAATTTTGAAGCGAAATAGAATATATTTTCAGTAAGGAATTTTTTTCTCCAAAATGGTTAGGATTTTGAGGGTATTCCTCTTAACCAAAAATGATTGTAATTGACCCCTGCAATCGAAAATAATTTTTTGAGACTGACTTGAAACTTTTCAATTTCGTCAAAAAATTCAGGCACGATTTTAGTTAAAATTAGTTTTTGATTTTTAGTAATTTTGTTCGATGCTCTACAGTAAAGTTGTCTAATACTTTTTTGTAGGTACTCATGAGCTCTACTAAAAAAAAAAGTTTCATTGAAATATATTCACTATTGTAAGAATTATGGTTGTCTGAAAATTGGACCATTTTTATGAGGGTTTTTCTAATTTTACGGGGTCAAGTAATAACTTTTCCAATATTATTAGAATTTCTATATATTCTTCGCCAAAATACGCGTTGTTTGCCGTTTGAAACATTAAAATCGTCCAATCTGTTCAGAAGTTATGATGTTTTAAAGATTCGCATGAAATTTTGAAGCGAAATAGAATATATTTTCAGTAAGGAATTTTTTTCTCCAAAATGGTTAGGATTTTGAGGGTATTCCTCTTAACCAAAAATGATTGTAATTGACCCCTGCGATCGAAAATAATTTTTTGAGACTGACTTGAAACTTTTCAATTTCGTCAAAAAATTTAGGCACGATTTTAGTTAAAATTAGTTTTTGATTTTTAGTAATTTTGTTTGATGCTCTACAGTAAAGTTGTCTAATACTTTTTTGTAGGTACTCATGAGCTCTACTCAAAAAAAAAGTTTCATTGAAATATATTCACTATTGTAGGAATTATGGTTGTCTGAAAATTGGACCATTTTTATGAGGGTTTTTCTAATTTTACGGGATCAAGTAATAACTTTTCCAATATTATTAGAATTTCTATATATTCTTCACCAAAATACGCGTTGTTTGCCGCTTGAAATTTTAGGTTATGTAGCTTAGAATTTGTTTTTATTTAAAACTTTGATGGATACTAGAAAATTTCATTTTCAAGTTGGGACGTCGAGGGAAATAAATTTGAATGGAATTCGTGGATTTTAACAAGGTTATGGAAATAAGTACCGAAACAAATTTTAGGTTATGTAGCCTAGAATGGTGTAAAATCAAAATTCACACAAAACAAAGAACTATTTCGTAAATGGAAGCAACGAACACCAACATTTGGTAAAAATTTCTTTTCCATTCATAACGAATCAACTTAACACTTTACCGACCGATAGCCTGTTAATCGACTGTTTTACCGACCAACGCTTACCGACCGATAGCGTATTAATCAACTTTTTTACCGACCAACGCTTACCGACCGATAAAACAGTTGATTAATACGCTATCGGTCGGTAAGCGTTGGTCGGTAAAACAGTCGATTAACAGGCTATCGGTCGGTAATGTGTTAATACGCAAAAATATAAGAAACACTCATATTTATGACGAATCCATCCATTATGGTGTACGAAGTATGGGAATCGAGTGTACCGCGCGAAAGAGAGGTTACGTTCGATCCGATCGTCGAAAGTTTCCGCGAAAGCGTACAGTCACTGCCGATCCAGGCCTGGCAAAGTGTTCCTCGACACGTTTCCCCGCAAAACGGGACTAAAACCGTGTGTGTTCTGTGTCGTTGGGGTGTCTATTTGGTTCCTAGGCAACCGTCCTCGCGATTGCAAAGATCTCCGTGACGAAAACTCACGACTAAAATGCCAAAACTGTCCACTGGAGGGCTCCACTCGCGATGGAGAGGGCGCTCGCTACCTACGGTGTCATTTCTACGGGGGAAATAAAACGTTAACATTGATTGATGTAGCGTGGGGACTCCGTTAGCGTCCATTTGTAAATTATTTTTATTACTAGGATACGCATGCGCCGTCCTTCGACCAGAAACGGGCGAAATTTCATTCGAAAATATCCAATCGATAATATTCTTCAAATTTTTTAACACTTTACCGAACGGTAGCGGTTGATTAATCGGCTATCGGTCGGTAAACGCCGACCGATAAAACAGTTGATTAATAGGCTATCAGTCGGTAAGCGTTAGCCGGTAAAACAGTCGATTAATAGGCTATCGGTCGGTAAGCGTTGGCCGGTAAAAAAGTTGATTAATACGCTATCGGTCGGTAAGTGTTGGCCGGTAAAAAAGTCGATTAATAGGCTATCGGTCGGTAATGTGTTAACATTGAAAGGATGAATAGCTTCATCTTTTACTTGTTTCTCGAAATTTTGCCCGCCTCTGTTATGGACGAGACGCGTGAGATCCTCGACGAGCCAAAAAGAAAAGAACGAAACTCGCGTCAGCCATTTTGCGGTCTCTTTGAGGTTCGAAATCGATCCCAGACTGTTTTTATCGTTATCGTGCATCGATTCTCTTCCGTTTTCATTTCTGGTTTTCGCGAACGTTCGTCGCCAGAACACGAAAACCGCGAGTGGGGACGCGTTGGCCCCGAGAGACGCCATTGTTCGTCGTTCGAAGTTTTCTTTTTCAGTCTGTAAGCCAATAAATGAAGGTTAATTTTTTTACCACTCTGTGTTCCTTATTTCCCGGAAACATTTCAGGTCCATTTCACTGCGACAGTGTGTGTTTTTTAAATTAGAATTTTTTCTAACCTCATCCACGCACATAACTCTTGAAAAGTTTGATAAAATATTTATTGCAATTCTAGTATACCCTCGTTGAAGGGATTTTATGTGATTAACACTTTACCGACCGGTAGCGGTTGATTAATCGGCTATCGGTCGGTAAGCGTTGGTCGGTAAAGAAGTCGATTAATAGGCTATTCGAATTTTAGACAAATTTCGGGCGCTTTGGAAATCTGGATGGCCATGAGTTCAAGGTCAAGGTCAAGGTCAAGGCTAAGGCCACTAGAATTTTAGAAAAATTCAGGGCGCTTTGGAAATCTGGATGGCCTTGAGTTCAAGGTCAAGGTCAAGGTCAAGGCCATTCGAATTTTAGAAAAATTTCAGACGCTTTGGAAATTTTGATGGCCTTGAGTTCAAGGTCAAGGTCAAGATCATGGTCAAGGCCATTCGAATTTTAGAAAAATTTCAGACGCTTTGGAAATTTTGATGGCCTTGAGTTCAAGGTCAAGGTCAAGATCATGGTCAAGGCTATTCGAATTTTAGAAAAATTTCAGACGCTTTGGAAATTTTGATGGCCTTGAGTTCAAGGTCAAGGTCAAGATCATGGTCAAGGCCATTCGAATTTTAGAAAAATTCAGGGCGCTTTGGAAATCTGGATGGCCTTGAGTTCAAGGTCAAGGTCAAGGTCAAGGTCAAGGCCAAGGCCATTCGAATTTTAGAAAAATTCCGGGCGCTTTGGAAATCCCGTGGCCTTGAGTTCAAGGTCAAGGTCAAGGCCACTAGAATTTTAGAAAAATTCTTGGGCTCTGAAAATTTGGATGGCCTTGAGTTCAGGGTCAAGATCAAGGTCAAGGCCGAGGACATTCGAATCTTAGAAAAATTCAGGGCGCTTT